CACCTAGGTGTAAATGGGGGCTTAGCATTCATCATTTGAATCTGAAGGACAGTGACCTCTGACTGGCTGTTCCTCCATTAAACATGCCATCATTACGCTTTACACCTTCTTATTAAATAAGGTTGAGTTTTCTATGTCCTAGTGGAAACAATGAATGATGAGAATTGTTAACAAAATGTGTTTCTCTTAAAGTAATAGTAAACGTAGAGGTTATATTTGTTAAGCTTTCTGTATGTAACTGGCATATTTGACACTGTATTGTAAATATGAATTGGTGTAAATACAGGACGGTTTTAGATAGACTGTCCCAATAATAATAGCGTAAAATGAGGATGTTTTATAAATTGGGACCCTGAGATCACTAAACGCTTCCACATATGTGCATTTTTTGTTTTTATTTGTTTGTGGTTTTATATTTCTGTGGTCTTTACAAGATACTTTTTTTTTTAAATAACTGTGGTGCCCGCGGCAATTAAATTCTCATTCGTATATTTCAGAACTGCGCCACACATGGCAGTAGGAACCCGATCAGTTTCTAAAAGCAACACCAGTCTGACACTTTGATGAACAAGGCCCCTTATTGTGCTTCTCTGATCCAGCTAATGTTGCTAATCAACTGTTATTGGTCTCCTTAGAGAGAACGAGCCAAGACTGCCTATAATTCATTTATACAATCTTGCATAAAACAAAAGTACATGAGATGCAGAATAATACTTCACTTGAGGTTTCTACAGTAGAATGACACTGAATGGTTTTATTTATCGATCAAAGCCTAGAAAATGATATAAAAATGCCACTTTCTTTGTTTACCAGTGTTTTGTTTGTATTATAGAAAAAACTGTTATGGACACGATTGTTGAGTTTTGTAAGTAATAAAGATTAGTGTATTCACTCTGAGTAGATGCCCTTCTAAACATTGCTCCCTGTATGAAAAGCACTGTGTCATGATTATTAAAAAAAGCTGCATGGAGTATGTATGTTGTCTCCATTGTTTGTGTGGGTTTCCTTTTGGTGCTTTGCTTTCTTACGCCAGTATCAAAATGATTGGTAGATTGCCTAAAGTGTTTGTGTACTTATTAGCTGTGTTGGATGGTAAGCTCTGCTGAGGCAATTCACACTTCCACTCTCCATATACGTACACTTGGCATCTTTTGTTCCTACCTAATTTGACATCACTCCTGACATCACCATTTAATTTGTTTACCTGCGCTACAGGAATCTGCAAGCTAATAATATTCTTCAAGGTAATTCAATAATTTGCCCCATTTTTTTTTACCACATCAAAAGGCTTACAGTATAAAACCATAGGCCAGTGGTGAGCAAACTTCGGCACTCCAGCTGTGCTGCAACTACAAATCCCATGAGGCAATGCAAGTCTATGACAGCCAAAGGCATGATTACCAGAGGCAGATTAATGGATCTGTAGTTTCACCACAGCTGGAGGGCCGGAGTTTGCCCACCTCTGCAATAAACAATTCTCGATCTGGTTTGTGGCCCCCAATTTTCAAAAACTCAGTACTACATATATTTTTATGTGAATGTAATGTTTAGACTTAAAGCACCATTAGAACCTGATAATCTGGCTCTTATTATGCAAAAACTAGGACAGTACTGCCATGCATTCTTGTGAAAGTAGAATAAAATTATATATATAATGTTTAATAGTTTAAATACATATGTATGTATAACTTTGATGGGGAAATCTGTAACAAAACTTTTTTTTAAATCTATGTGACGCACAATGCCATTTAACACTGGCTCTTCTTTAGTGCAGTACCTCAAACAGCCTGTAGGAGCGCTGTATGCACAGATATTGCCATTAGCAACATCTCCACCTTTGTTTACTTGTTCATCGAGTAATCAGCCTTAAAAGGTCACACAACACTGATATGAACTTGATTAGGGGAACTGTAAATTATCACCAAAAAAAGCCTCATTATATAAAGAGCTACTAAACAATACAATTAAAGGTCACTGTGTGTGCGCAGAGCTGAGCGCCGTTAGAAATTCCTGTTTCCCCCGTGGCTCCAACTGGTGGCCATAATGTGCTGCAAATCTAAAAGTTAGAGCAGTTTATTCCACAAACCTCAATAATACACCTCTATGTGCGAACAACACAAATTGGAGGCAATAGTTTTGTGAAATTACTGAATATCCATTTTCATTTGGCAATCAATTTTGAGTTGCAAAATACAAGTCTGTATTTGGATAACAACTTACAGTCAATAAAGTTGAACAATCAGCCGATGAACACATACCTGCTTCAATTGATGTTTTATTAAAATCATTAAATGCACTTTTAAATTAAACTAGTTTAAGCACCTGAATTTGACTTGGTATCTGCCTCTCGCAGAACTCAGACCAGCAGGGGGGCGGTAGCAAGGGTTAACTGCTAAATTTTTTTATCTAAAGGAATTCTTTAAAGTATTACTAAAGGCTAGGTATTTTACCTTAAGGCATTCTCTGCATTAAGGTAAACCAAAAGCCTGGTACATTTCAAATTGCAATAGCAGACTGGCTATTGCACCCGCCCACTGCTTGTTGTGCCCTCCTCCCAGCATGGAGGAGAGAACTAGGCGATCCAAGCAACTTATCCATAATGAGAACAGTTGACAACTATGCTCATTATCGATTAATTGATTAGTTGGTTGCAGCCCCAAAAGTAAATGGTTGCATTTTATATGTCTGCCTTCATAAAAGAAACAGTGGGGATTTGACTGTAAGGAAACAGTCTGAGCATGGACTAAATAATGACTTTAGTTGCTATGGACAACTAGAGTCACACATTTTACATATATATATATTATATACACACACACATGCAGAACTGTAAGTCCCTGACCATCTAATTGGCATACCAAAGAAGGAATCCCTTAGAACCTACAGAGTGATCCAATATCAAAATGTTATGAGTAGAAACAGATATACAGTATGCTCCACACTTTGAAGACCCAGGCTGTCAGAAAATCCCCCACCTCTGGAACTTCGTTTGCCGATCAAAGAGAGCCCAACCATTATGTATGAACTGAGCAGGAAGACGCACAGACGACGTCAAATTACATCTAACTTTATTGTACCCAGACTTAGCACACTGCAGTCCTGCTTAGGACCACTCCTCTCTAACGTTTCACCCAACATGCGCTTTATCACAGAGATCTCGTATTTGGTAAAACTTTAGATGGGGCAGGGGGAGGGGCTGCAGTGTGCTATGTATGGGTTCAATAAATTTGGATGTGATCCAACATCATCAGTGCGACTTCCTTCTTTCATCCTGAGGTCAATATCCTAGGTAATATTTTCCATATCAACTATTACACGATAAAAGTGGTCCCTGCTGTATCCTTCACCAACTTCTTGGTCTTTGTATCTTCTACATTTTGGAGCTATCTTCACAGTGCAACTAGACACATTACCTTTAGTACTCTGCACATGATGCTCTTCCTGCACCCTGTAAAAGAATCACCCAGAAGCAGGAGGAGCATAACAGAGTAAGATGAGGCAGGTAGAACAGGACCCACCTCCAGCAGCAGGAACATGCCAGAAGGCCCACCATAACAGCTGCCTCCAGTGTATGCAACAGAAGCCACATGCTTCCAATCTGTACTGTAAGACCTAAGAAGTAATTGCACATGCTTTAGGACAGAATGTTGGAAGACCTGGAGTCAAAGAGTACTGTACAATAAAACTCCATATTTTGCTGTGCACTATTCCGTTTGTGTAGGAACATTCAGTTATCTTAGGTTATTAATACGATTGTGTATAAATCTATTATGTAAAGTTGTGGAGATTTTGTTTACCGTATTTTTTATTTTCAGGTACAATGATATCTTAATTCTAACATGCTTGTTTTAACTATTAGCAGGTAAACATAATGTATGTATTCAGTGTCACCGGCCCATCTCTGGAGCTTAGCTTTACTCTCCAATGACTTATTATTTTGTGCTACAAATGTTCAGAAAAATGTTTTGAAAACATTAAACTCTTGTGTAATTTCTATTTCAGTTTTGTCTGACTGTTCTGTAACAGTTCAATGCAAAAAAAAAAGAAAATCTGAATAAAAATGTACTTTTCACATTTATGGTGTTTAAATTAAAATATATTTAAAATTGCCATTATCCAATAAATACATTATTTAAAAAATTATAATAATAATACTTAAAAGCATAAGTGTATCATTAAAATGAAGACAGGCATCACAGCTAAAAATGAAAGAAAATGAATTTCTACACAGCCCATCCAGGCACTCCCAGCCCCTTATATAATCCTACAAATGCACTGCGGGGAGTACAGGTCTGGCTATAGAGAATAATAGCATCTGCCCATTGCATGTTCCAAGTTGAAAATAGGAGCTCGGCAGGGGCAGATTCAACAGTATAAAGGGATCAGTGAATGCTATATATGTGCAAGCTTGCTTTCACTTCTTAGGGGTTAAAGTAGTACTAAGGGATAGGTGTTTATTACCCTAATGCATTCTCTGCACTAAGATAAAAAATGCACAGCACCTTTCCATGTCACACTGTCCCCATATACTTACTTCTAGTCACTTGTCACCTCCGTCAGGTCAAGGACATTTTGCCTTTGCATGATCTTCCTTCTTGTGGGGGAGGGTACTGAGGGCAGAGGAGCGATAGGCTTCTTCTGCTGTCAGTCAAACTGTGACTGTGAGAGCTGTGGAGGAAGCAGATTTGTGGCTTGCCACACCATGTGTGTCTATGGATGCACAAAGCTGGTCGCAGGTTACAGCCATGAATGCGCACAGGCAGCCGGTTAGCTGAAGGACACACAGGCAGAGGGGAGAGTGGTTTGGGGACCATCGGTTCCTTCAGTGCCAGACAACTTGCATAGGACCCAGAAGTAGTTGGTGATAACCTCTTACCATCAGATGAAGTTAACATATGACCAAGTGTTCCTTCACACCCATTCTATATAGAAGACTCTTTGGGTGTTTTCACCTTATTCAGGCATCTTTAATGACCTAATCCATCTCATATATTGGCACCTTACGTAACACTGCTACCAGTCATGGCTAATGATTCTGTGTCTCCAATTTGTTTCATACTACTTATCAGATCAAAGCAATGCACATAGTTGTTCCTGCAGCCTACGACCAACTGGTTCAGGCACACCACCGGAGAAGAGAATATTTCCCCCTCTAGTATATACCGAGTGATCAGAAGTCCAGAGTGAGCATCCAGTATCCACAAGCTTCCATCTGTAGAAGCAGCTGCCAGCAGCTCTGTGTTCTCAGTGTGTGGGTTGGGAAACACAAATGGTGTTGCATATACTCGTGAGTTGGCTTTATATTTCCAGAGTAATTCTCCCTCAGTGCTGCAGCAATAGATGAAGCCATCATGTGAGCCAAACATGACATGCTTGGATACAGCAGAGACACACGGTGAAGAAAAAATAGGCCCCTCCGTGGAAAACTGCCACAGCTATGTAAAACAAAAATGCATTAGTTTGATATTATAAGAATCATCATCAGTGCAGTCAGTTTGGGGACAGATTGATAAAAGCTGAAACAATGGAATGTACTATTTGTAAAAGACACATTAAAAAAGCAAAGCATATATCCCGCCAGCGTTTATGGAATGCTCATCTTTCACTATACATATTGCACCCAATTGTTTATTATTGGTTGCAGTTTACATAGATAGATTTGCTGGGAGAACCCAATACTCCTGGAAAACATATAACAAAATAGGAGCAAGTGCTGCAATTAAGGTACTATGCTCTAAAGCTATCATTTGGCTAGAATATTCATAAGCTGAAGCAATAAATACAGCTGCCTATACTACACTAGACTAACTGCAAAGAATGTGGTTTGTCTGCATAATTCTGTTTATATATGCGTATATCAGACTGACATAATGAAGCATCCTGATACTCTCCAGTCAAATGGACAATGAAGCCCTGAAAGCAGACAGGGAGCACAGTCTAGCTCTGGGGTAGGTAACATCTGCACTCCAGTTGTTGTGGAACTACAAGTCCCATGAGGCATTGCAGGACTGAGAATTACATAAATGACTTCATGAGGCAGAGGCATGACAGTATTTGTTGTTTCAATACAGCTGGAGTGCCAATTTTGCCTACCTTTGGTCTATCAGCACCCAAGCATTGCTATAGTGCACCAGTCTGCTCCACACCTTCTTTCTAGTTATTGTGGACAATGGGGACCCTTTTGTTTATCTATTTGTAATGCAGGAAGCATTCTGAAACACAGCCCCTGCAGACTCCTGTCTCTCAGATGTATCATGATATATAGTGGTAAACCATGCAACTGCTTTGTGACAGTATAGCCTAGAAAAAGGGACCCCGTGTGTCCCTGAAACGTTGGCTTAATATGACCATTGTGACGTTGTTGCAGTGAATTGGATTCTAACCCTGTGTGCGCTGGTGAATTATCTTACAGTTATCAGAGCTGTATGGAGTGCAGGTGGTCCCATTATCACTAGATGTATCAGTCATCAGACACCAGATTCACACTTGCCTATGAATCTGATTGGCAACACATTTACACAGCACAGTCTGCAGGAAGCAGACCCACCTGTGATATGCGAGAAACTCTATATAATCTGCTGTAGTGGGTTTCAGAGAACTCTAATTAAGATAAACAGTGAGGACATTCTGACTTTAGTACTACTGTAGTGTTTACTGGGTATCATTAGCAGGGGGGTGAGAGGGGAGGTATATCCTGTAGTTCGTTCTTCCAGGGATAAAGGATTTAGTGTATTCTAGTATGCTGCTGAATAAGCTCGTCCTCCGAGCACTGACCCCGATATCGTGTTTTAGAGTGGCTACTTTCCCTTGTGGGGTCTATGGAGCCACCCTTGTGTGTGCTAGTAAGCTGTGTGCATCTCCACAAACACACAGGCAAGGCAGGGCAAGTCACTCTTTCCCCTCTCTTCCCTTCTCCAAGCTAGCAGATGGACAGCTGCTGGAAACTACTCACTCACCCTTGTGATGTTTTACTGGACAGGAAGTTCAGGGAAGCCGAGCTGAGACAGTTGCAGTCGGAAACATGACAATTATAAGTGCTTGGGAAAAAATGCAAAGAAATACTTTGCTGGTTAAAGAATAGTTTTTTGATCTGGATTCATTATTGAAAACAGTTTGAGAGTTTAATACTTATGAGTCATGAGAGAAGCATGGGGGCTGCCATTGCTGACCTTCTTCTGAAAATTCTAGTTACCTGGCTACACTTACTGAGTCACAGCCCTAGAACAAGCATGCTATAACTGTTAGGAAAGTGTGAGAACTATGCCAATTCTTGTGCTGGGTTAGCAAATCAGAAAAGGACTGAAGCAAAACTTGAAGCATTGTAGCAGAAGTCACTGCAGTATTTCTCACCTTTTCTCCACAGTGGCTGAGACAATATAAAATTGCATCCACACAGCCAATGAACACATGCTTGTCGCTGCAATGCAGTGAAGAAAACACAGGTTTGCCAATGTCAGTCTTCCACAGATGCTTTCCTGTGCTCTATAGGGAAAAGAAACATAATTCATATACTGTATGGAGCAAAGTGAAATAATACTGGTTCAGTACAGTACAGCTTTACAAATTCATAAAGACAAATAACATGGTCAAACCTACATTTACAGCTCTGTTTAATACAGACAGCAAATGTAATTATAATGCATTAGTAGAATACTAATGTTACATACACTATTACAGCAACCATTATTTTCAGCTGTGACAGACATAATCATAGCAACTATTGTACTTACTGGATCAACAGCCAGCACCAGACCTCCCAAGGTGGCAACATACAAATGATGGGGGTCCGTGTTTATACAAGGAGAAGAAAACACAGCAGAAACCAGACGGGGAGACTTCCAGACACACTGCTTTCCCTGAAAGAAGACCACATAACTGTACTTCAGATAGGAGTATATGCTGCACAATCAGTTCATTCAGCAAGTCAGGGAAAGAGTATGGATGAAATGCAACAGATGGAAACTAAAGACTTTCAGCTTATGGAAGTCAGATAAATGAAAGGTGAATTCCGATTAGTTGTATGGATTGAAGTCTAGAGGCTGCCACTGCATTGACCTTTGTTATGAATATGGCCAGTTTTCTGTCTGTCAAGCTAATCAGAAACTACGAAGCAGATTTGGAGCTCGTTTTGACATTTCTGATCTGCATGCTTCATCCAGAGAGCCAGGCATCTTCCCTTGCATTTTTCAGGAGGTTGTTACCAAAGGCATTGCCCGGATTTCTATCAGTACAACCTGTGAGACGCCCCCCCCCTCCCCAAACCAACTTATATTTACCTTGCTAGCACCACCCACCACGTCTTCCTCGGTAGCCATCCACATTACCTGCCACACTTGGTTATGGAAGATGTGAACTCCTCCTTTTTGGCAGCGCTAATTTATAGCAGCCAATCGCTAGGTCTTGAGAACTGTCACACGAGGGAGTGGCATCACCAACACAAGTTATTTCCATAGTGACTGCAGAGAATTGATGGATCAATTGATGGATCTGGGCAGTAATCCAACTTTAAACAACTTCTGTACGTTATCTCTGTGTAGGAATTTCCTGTAAGTCTCTTTATCTCCTTGTGCGGGGTGACTAGTCTTGTATCTGTCCCCCTGTAGTTTTTTGCAGGCAGCCTTTAGTGGTAGGACCTGCTGGGTCCCTCCCACAGCTCCGCTCTCTGCACAGGCTACATGCAACACAGTGATGATGTCATTACCACTTTTCATATGGCAAAACCTGGTTTAGCAAAATTATTTGGTGCACAAAGTGGATTGACATCCATTGTAGATATTGAGGCTATATATTTATCTCAAGATGTTCAGTCTGGAATTCAGTTTTAAACTAATTATCAGTATGCTAGGGAAGTGGCAATAAGAAGGGTGCTTTTAGGAGGCCTGTACTAATTCATAAAGACAAGAATCCGCTAATTCATCAAAGCAGCAAACCAGTTTATGTATTATTTTCTAACTCCCTTCTGAGGCTTTTAGAACTTTGAAGGATGCCTGCAGAAAAAGGCATAATTCACAATAAGCAGTCAACAGATAAACAAGAGTACATACTTCAATGTCTAGAGCATATAAATGCTGGTCATGTGACCCAACGTATACCAGACCACTTTTGGGATCAATGGCAGGAGAACTCTTCACAGCATCCCCAGTGCTGAAAACCCAGAGTGTTGCCCCATTACTTCTCCTCAGTACATAAATACCTCCATCATAACAACCTGCATGAATAAATACAGTTTTGTATTAGCATTCTTTTCTTTCACATCATCCTTAAAACATCAAACATTTACATATCGTGTCACTTTCTCTTTTGGATGTTCACTCATCTGCAATGTGAAGGATGTGCTAGCTGAGCTCTGTGCTGAGCTCGGTTCAATCTGCAGTGAACAAAATTCAAAGGAAATGTAGCATATGTGAAGGCAGAGCACCCATGTACACAAACCATTACAAAAAGTCTTAATTCATCTTTCAGTTTCTAGCAGGCAACGTACTATGTTCATAGAATGGGCTGGCTGACTGGCTTTTATTTCTCGTTATCTCTGTGTAGGGATCTTCAGACACCAAGTACTGTACTCGGTACAAGTACAGATACTTTTCCAGCTCCAAGACTAGAATAGAGAAAAACTCAAACGTTACGAAGCAGCTGTCATTTGTAAGGAGCATTGGCTACGGGGATTTGTGCATCCCTGCAATGTATGATTTTTGTGTTATATATATATATATATATGTGTGTGTATACACACACACACCAAGTACCGGTACTTGTCCAAGTACTAACAGATGCCAATTACTGATACATTTTTGTTTAGTGTCATGTGACAACTAAAACAAACGAATAATTTCAGGACAGTGGTGGAACGCCTGAGCCAGGTCCCAGCTGCAACATTGGTAGTTCTCGTGAAAATGCCAAGTATTGGCACTGGTATCTGAACATCCCTATCTCTTTGTCAACCCAATTGTTATAGATGTTAGTAGCAATTAAAGCACCTACAACAATCATTGTTGCCAGTTCACACCAAGTGCCTATAAAGAGTAACCCCCACTCAGGTTGTGTGTACATGGCTCTGACTACAAACAAAGCATAAAGGGCATGTTTTTAGCCAGGTAAATACGAAACATTGCATATTACAATTTTGCAGTCTATCCATCCAGCAGGTGGAGCTCTAGTCCTATTGTACACATTTTTTGCCTATTTCAGCTCTTATTTCTGTTGAAGGGCCCATGTTGTTTTATGATGTCCAATGAATCAGCACAACAATGGGTCAGTACTAAGTTTCAAGCAAAGGGTGCATCACAGCAAGCATCTTTGCTGTGCCATCTCTTTACATAACCAATAGTGCTTTGGTAATCTTCTGCCATGTTTATATGTGAAGCATATTATAACAATAACAGATGCAAAACAATAGTTTAAAGCATGTAAATAACTAAAAGAAAAATTGATTACAAATTCCCCTTAAAATCCAGAACTTAATGCAAAGTTATAATTACCAACAATAATATAGTTTCCACATGCAGATAGTGCAGCAGAGGATTCAATACGTTCTCCCAATATTCTTTCCCATACGACTGTCCCAGTGTGCAGATCTAGAGCTTGCATTCGGTGTGAATGGGACCCAACATATACAGTCGCTGTTGAGTCTTCACTGGATAACAAGACGATGAGAGGAGATGCATCAACACATTTACTTGTATCAGATGACCATCTTTTCCTCAGAGACAATGTCAGGGTACTAGATGGGGAGACCTTTGGCAGTTTAATGCCTGGACTGGAGAACTCGGAGAAAGCTAGGTCTTGAATGGATCCAGGGATTACCTGGCACTGCAGTCCAGTTGATTCAGTGTATGAACATATGTGTTTAAAGCACTGGCTACCTCTGCTCAGAGATAGGAGAGGACTCGAGCCTGCTGGTGACCTGCTGAGAAAAACTGCTTTTCGTTTACTGTGGTACTTGGTGCTCATGTCCACAACAACATGATTGCTCTCTACCTCTGTTGGATGTACTTTGGTTTTATCCTCATCTTTTTCTGGACACACAGATCTAATGACATGTCTGCAAACAGCCACAATAGTATTACTGAGTATCACTTCTAGAAGTCCTGGCACAGGTTTACCAAGCAGAGCTTCCACATCTTCATGAAATCTAATTGCCTTTAAAGAGTCTCCACCACTGAGCAGAAACACAGAGTCCTCGGCAACATCTGGAACATCTTCAGGAAGTCCCAGACTGGCCTAATAAGAACAAGAGACGGCGGTATTTACAAAAGAACAAAACACCTCATTGGAAAAATGGAAACCATACAAATTGAATCCTACCTTCCACAAGGTCTGCAAGCTCTTCCAGAAATCATGTCTTGTTTGGGAATTGGGTTTACTCTTTTTTTCCCTCAAGTGATCATCATACAATAGACTTAAACTTGAATAGTCCAATTTACCTTAGGAAAATGTAGACAGGGTAAAAGTTGGTTTTCTTCATCGTAAAGGGGGCCAAAAAGTTACAAATAGGATATTAGTAGCTCACAACCCAGTATTCATATACACAGTCTAAACCCCTTCAGGACCTCAGATCATTCATGCATAGATGCCCAAGCCAAATTAGCAGCATCAGCATGGGTCAGTTAACAATGAATCTATGACTAATTGCATTATTAATAATTTTTTATGGTACACCGTTTACTTAAAAAAAACAAAAACCTGCTCTGTATTCTACCATATTGTTCGATTGTACAACATATATTATTTTAAAAATACAACTGGATCTTACACCATTAAAGCCCATCTCTGGGGGTGGGGGGGGAAACTCCCCTTGCAGTGGGGCTTCCCCCACACTGCAAGCATTGTCTGCTCACTTATGTCTAGGGTTGCCAGTTAAAAGACTTTTACTTATCCCATTTTCGATCCCCCGACTGTCCACACCCACTTGATCTCCTCTACGCAACGCTTTGTGGATCATCTCTTGCAGTCCCCATGTAAAATGCAGGGCTAAAGGCCCTGAACTGCATGAGATGACATCAGCAGGCCTCTGACCACCAGAGCGTGGGTAAGATGTACAGGTGCCAGCCTTGAAGCCTGCAGGTGTGGGGATCAGGTAAGTAAAAGTCCTTTTCACAGGTACACTAGAAATAAAATGAGCAGGGAGGAGTCTTTTTTTCTGCAGATAAGCTTTAAATAGATGACAATGCAGATGAATATTGCAGCTTGAAGTTGACAAAATTCATCTGCAGGTTTCATGCTGCTTGGTTCCCAATCTTTAGTGGGGACCCTAGCTGTCAAGGACAGCCGGGATTGGGAGCCAGCAGCCACACAGTCTCATAGGGGTAGTTGATTATTCATTCATATCCATAATACAGAGCCATCGACTCACTAAGCTGTAGGAAAACCACAGAGCTGTGTGAGGTGCAGAGAGTCTCAAAGTTACTTCAAGACTGTGGATACCACAGGAGCTTAGTCTGTCCATAGAGCAGGGTCACCTTAGGGAAATTCGTTATTCCTTTCTGGAGAAACAATAGGGCTTTTTTGGATGAGCTAATTATATGCTTGAAGAGACCAGCTGACATCACTGTAAATTAGTTACCATGTCTTGTAAAAGGTAGTGTGTCTATCACAATGAGGTCATCCGGTACTGCATAGCTAAGAAGATTGGACTCCACTGCTCCCCATAGTACTTTCTTGTCTACAGACCCTCTTTGTACAACAAAGAGTACAAGCTGTTTAGCTTTAGACCACATGACTGCACATGCCTCCACTGCTTCAAGTTCTTCTACTACCTGAAAAAGAAAATATGCAAATCTGTTGCAACTTGTTTGCCATAGACAATGATGCCTATTTTCAATTTGTTCAGATTTTTCTCAATATGCCAAAAGTCTAATCATACGGAAGATAACGTCTTCCCCAACCTCAGCTATCAGACATTATAGGAATGCTTACAGATAAAACTAACCCTAAACTGACCAGAGATCACCAGAAAAAGTGAACAGTCTCCAACCTCTTCAAGCCTATTTGTGGGTCAATTGAAGCAGAACCAGTAACATAACAGTATTCATTACGATAATGAATTGGATGTCTTTGTACTCATTCACAGATCTCTGCAATGCCCACAAAGCTCTGACTTTAGCTACATAAAACTTAAATATACACTGAGTGGCCACATTTTTATGACCACCTGATGTTTGTAGGTAAATTAGCTATAATTTCGCGCTGAAGTTGCTAGAGTGCCAGACCATTATAAATAGGGAAGCAGGTTGTTTACCACGACAGTAGAAGTGATTTTGTTCTGAAGATATGGATAAACAACGCGATTTAACAGCCTTTGAACGTGGGATGATTGTGGCGCTCGGAGCCATGGAGCGAGTATCAGCAAAACAGCAGAATTCGTTAAATGTTCAAGAGCAGCTGTTGTTAAAGTGTTTAAAGACTGGACTGTCAGCCGAAAATCTGGGTCTGAACGTGCGAATTGTGGCCGTCAGCGACTAGTCAATGTTAGGGCAGAATGGAGAGCGGCAAGACTGGTACAAGACAACAGAAGGGCAACAGTGCAGTGTCAGATTCCTCGCATCACCTTTCAACATCTCGTGGAGTCACCAGGCGGCCCAACGAAGTCACTTCGTGGAGTCATCTCGTGGCCCAACGAAGTACTGATGGGGTGGTCATAATAATCTGGCCACTCAGTTTATGTAAGGAGAGATGAAAGCCCAACAGTTACCACTGGCTGTCATACTTTAATAGGTCCAGTATAGAAGAGAATAACCACCGTCAGCCAACAGATATTTCATGAAGGTAAATGGGTCTTACTACATATAAGCAACAAAAAAAAATCCATAAATGGTCTGGTGATGAAGCATGCACCTATTTTGTTTGTAGAGTGAAAGGTTAGATGGTATACATTTACTTGGTACAGATCAAAAGCCTAACCTAAACCTAGTACCTGGATTTGTAATGGGGATATATAAAAGACAATACGTTTTTCACTACCATTTGGCACCCCCCATACCTGCTGTATATATTCAGCACTGAGCCTCTTGCCATGGCGCTTGAACTGGTTGTCTCTGCGTCCCACGTAGTACATGTTCCCACCTTGTAACCTCACCCAGTCCCCAGTACTTCTCATGGTCCCACATGGCAGAATAAATTCATCATCTAAAAAGCAGACCCTGTGTCTCCCTCCTGGAGGGCCAAGGAACAATATAAAGAATTATCAGCCAACATTTCTATAACAGTCACAAATGGAAAATATGACACACACCTCTGCTACAAACACTGCAGTTAGCCTGTCCACAACCTAAATTGGCAGTTAAAGTAGAACTGTAGGCTGCAACATGGAGAGAGGCAAAAATGTGTAAGGCTGGTATAAAGCCCAACCCTCAAAATGAACCCCTATACTTCTCCCCAACACGTTAATATATAACTCTTATCCCAATCCTGAAACGTAACATTTGACCATCAGACTAAACCTAACACTAAACTAAACCTAACCTAACCTAATGAAGCCTTAAAATGTAATTCCACAGCCTAAAATGTAATCCCCATATACCAAATTCTAACCAGCTTAGAGGGCTCATGCACACCAGGCTCTGTTCTCCTTCACTTCACTCATTTACAATGTGATGCATTGTATTATTGAAGGCAGCTAGATAATAACTGTTACAGTGCCAGAGTTTTATAGAATTGAGTAGATCTAGCACAATAATATATATTAACCCAGCAGCAGCTATACTCTGTACCATTAAATGCTCGGTCTATGAAACAGCTACATTGGGCAAGAAGACACTTCACAGAAAATATGAGAGAAAAGTACCTAGGAAAACTTGACCTTCCCCTTCTTCAATACGGTTGTTATCTTCATTTCGGACTTCTACTATTGTTCCACACAGTGGCCTGCCCAAAGGTACGGGTGGATCACTTCTAGGAAACAAAAAAAAAATGTAAATAATAAAGAGAGGGAGGAAAAAAAGGTGGGGATGGAGAAACATAAAATCAGCTACTGGTATTTCATGGTCATTTTAACTCCTATACATGTGCAATCTCAGTGCAAGCAGGACTGAAAGGTTGTGACAAGGAAATTACTGACCACCGCATTTTTCTAGCGTTTATTCTACCTAACTGTTCTACATATTTAGAGGTGACATATACATTTATATTTCAGCAAGTTGTTGTTTTTTTTTAGAAATGACAAAGGCAACAATTACAACACTAAATTCTGTCACACGGCAAAGTAATGCTAAACAGGAGAAGACAGACAGATTTTGCAACAGATTTACTCCAAGGTTACAGCCCGAGTCATAAATCCCCCCATCATCAGCTTTAGAGTTCTTTCACACGTGCGTTGAGAATTTAATAAGAGAGCAACGCTGATTAACGCACCTTTAGTGTTAACAAGGCATTCGGCAGGCATCTTCAAGGCTTTAGGCAAGCGTCACAAAGGCTCGTAAAATGCCCTGCAAGTAGGGGAGTGTAAAAGGGGAAGTGATGTAATAAAGGGAAGTGGCCAGCCTTGAGGTGTGGTAACATTTGCAGGCATATTGTTGGTTTTCTGTACTGTGTATTGCTGCACAAGTGCTGTATAATCTGCCACTGGTATGACTGGCACTGCTCTGGATTACACTGATAGCAGCTGGCACTACAGGGTGGCATAGGTCAAGCTGTCACAGGTTGCAGGTACCTGGCTAGACGCTGTCCTCTTGCTGGGAAAATGCTGGCTGTGTGCAGACAGGAAGTGGCATCTGCACCTGCTCTGTCCACTCACTCTACGAGTCCTCAGTGGTTTCTGGGATTGCTAAACCTCCGATGCAACGCTTCTTAAACGACTGAAAAATGCTACAGAAGCATTGACCGATCGTTTAAGAGCATTAATAGGTGGCAGAGAGGCTTTAAAACCGCTTCTGTAATGCCCGATTTTAACACACGTGTGAAAGAGGCCTTAAAAGTAGCCTGTGACAGAATAAACCGTGACCCTGACCAATTCTTAACTGTGCGACTGTTTTATCTTCTCAAATTCAGTAATTAACTTTGCAAACTGCCACACTTGGCTCCCTGGGAATATAGACACACGGGTCTGTAAACCTGTTGCAGAGATCTTAAGCCCCGTTCACATTGAGCGATTTATCGCGCGGTAATTCCCGTGATATCGCGGCAAATTACCGCGCTCCCATGCATTTCAATGGGGCAAAGGGTCCTGCTGTCGCGGGTCGTGTGTCGCTACAGCAGGACCCTTTTTGGAGCGGATTTAGCCGCGATTCAAGCTTGCTCAATGCGTTATCGCGCGATTTGCATATCGCGCAGTGGGAACGGGGCCTTACTGAGCGGCAGGCAGTCTGATTTGTGACAAATTGTAAACAACTAAATACAACAGTAATAATCTCCTAAAACCTGCCAACTGCCTCCCCACAGAAGGAGCACTATATTCCCCACAGTCGGACTCAGGTAACGTGACTGCACATATTTAGCACAAGTCATTTGTAGCAATTAAATATTATGGTTTACTTCTGGTTCTTTTTTTTATTTTAGCATCTGTACAAAAGTTCCTAGCAGCATACTCTTATATGATCTGTTACTTGGATGGTGGCCTAATTCTAACCTAAATGAATTAGTAAACCATTAATTAAAATATTACCTATCTGTAGAAGCACAGAGAACAGCAAGGATCGTTGACGAATCAGCCACAAAGAGTAGTAGCTACCTATGGTAGTATTTGTAACTATTTTACACAATATATTGTATTTACGACACAATTGTTTACTTGTTTACTACCTGTATTAAGAGGCTTTCTCTTAATACAGAAAGCCTCAATCCCTTTCATAGAATGACCCCAATGGGATGGACTAAGCAGCCTTCTGCAGTTAGAGACTTGCGTTTACATTTACTGTTGCCAGCATTCAGTTCCATTATCCGTCACAGCGAACACCTAACAAGGGACCATAGTAATTGGCTACGAGCAACACCGCGGAAGTACGCAAAAAGCAAGTTTAAAGAACTAAAGTAACCACCATTCGTATTTCAACTGTCCCACTGCAAATTCAGCAACTTTCTCTGTGTGAAGATATTTAACCAAGTATATTTATCAAACAAATAAAAGGCAAATTTAGCCACATGCCTATCGCAAATCCGACAACATTTCGCCTTTCAAAGTATTTATGCATTTTGCAAAGGTTTGTCTTTTAGGACCAACCAACTCACTGCCCAGGAGATTGCCAATCACTTTGACGAGGCTGCCACTGTCCAGGCATCTGCCACTTTGAATACACCTTGTCTACCACCACATTCAATACCCTCTTCATTTGATCCTGCTACAGCAAAGTTGCTACTGTTTTATCCAACACCCACCCAACTACCTGCCCCCTGGACCCCCATCCCCTCACAACTACTCCGGTCACCCTTTAGCTATATTCAACAATCTATTACCCACATCTTCAACCTCTCCCTTTCTACTGGCATCGTCCCTACCCCTCTAAAATTAGCATTATTGAACCCCATTTTAAAAAAAGCCCTCAATGTGGCCCACTAGTCTGAACAATTTGAGACCCATCTCTTTGCTCCCATTAAACGCCAAACTTCGTGAACGCCTGGTCTACAACCGCCTGACCTGCCACCTTCCTGTAACAACCTCCTTTCAATCTGGCTATCGTCTGAAAGACTCTACAAAAACTGCCCTTCGAAAACCTATTAACGATCTACTAACCGTTAAAACCAAAGGCCATTACACTATACTCTTAGACCTTTCTGCTGTTTTTGATACAGTTGACCACCCACTCCATCCCTTGGCCTCCAAGACTCTGTTCTCTCATGGTTCACCTCCTACCTATCCCTGCACACCTTCAGTGTCACCTATAAACTTTACTTCCTCTATCCGTGGGGGTCCCACAAGGCGCGGCCCTTAGGCCCCTTCTATTCTCCACCGACACCTTCTCTCTGGGTCAGCTGATAACCACCAATACTATATCTATGCTAACGACAACCAAATATATCCCTCTACTCCTCAGGTCACCCCTTCTATCTCCTCAAGCATCACTAATCTACTCACTGACATATCAACATGGATGTCACACCACTTCCTCAAACCAAATCTGTCCAAAACTGAGCTTATAATATTTCCTCCTCTCCAGGTCCCCTGAAGAGGAGGAAATGCTAAGAACATATACTAAATTTAATAAAAACAAGAAGAAAAAAAAGAATGTGTACTGAACTGCGCATGTGCAGCTCAGTGTACATTTTAAATAAGTTGCAAGCAAGCAGGTTAGAAGCTTCTTTTGCAGAAATGACAGTCTTCTGCAATGAAAAGCCTTCCTGCTTGCAAACTTTTTTTCTTTTACTTAAAGTGACATTAAACCCTCAGATTTTTTAACATAAAACAATACTGTAATGTGTGTCTTACTGTAATCCATGGTTGTTTCCCTTCTCTTTGCTGCTCTTCCTTTTAAATCCTCATGTCTTCTCATGCTGGGCAGAACTTCTGTTTTGCAGCAGACTGCCTTGTCTCTGGAATGGATACATGGTGTCTGTGTGAAGGTTCACAACCTGAGCCAGCACTACAGGAAGAGGCAGTCAGCTGCAAAGGGAAGTTCTCCCCAAGCATGAGAAGAGATACAGATTTAATGTCACTTTAAGGTAAAGTTCTTCTTCCAGTCATGTTAGCAATGTGTTAGAAATATAGGATTCCTGTGCAACATAATTTTAAATTGATAGCGGTCTCAAATACATGCATTATGAAAGTTCCAGAAATGTCAGATAATATACAATAGTGTTCTTTTTGACCGCATCTCTCCATATGAAGCTGATCAGACTATAACAAGACCAAACAACTATGTGATATTGTATTTGACAGACTGTGAAACTCTCATGCTTACACTCTCAGGCAGCATACTAGTTCTGGGGCAGTGAAGTTAAACATTTAATTTCAGTGTCCCGGAACCAGTATGCAGCCTGTGAGCCAGTGAATGGTTGCTTCCATTTGAGGTTTTAAAACTATTTACTTTTAGCTCTGTGACAAATTCTCTTTATTGATGTCCTTTAGGTTGAATGGCTGTTACAATTAATAAATCAACCAATTGCCGTTTCAAAGGTTACATGTATTTACTTCAGAAACTAAGGCTAAATAGAGTGTGGTGTGTTTCTCAAACTGATTATGCTGCTCCTAATTAATTAATATTATATAACAATATTATTATTAATATAATAAAAACACATTTCACATACCCTGCATGAGAACCAACAAGAGATTCTGGAATCTCATAGAAAGTGGCCCAGCTGGACACTTCTGTTATGCCATAAAGATTGAAGAGACGCGTCCTATTGCCAGGCTCCATCCAACGTCTTAGCACACTGACAGGTGGGAACTGCTCCCCTCCAAGAGCTAACACTCTAAGGGATGTTTCTCTGGACAGCACTGAGGACTGAATGGAGCCACAACTTAAACTTCTCAATAGTGTTGGTGTTACCTGAAAAAAAAAAAAAAACACAAAAAAGCCAACTATAAACCTAAAGTGACACTAGACTCAAGAGTTAAAGTGATATTAAAGCTTCTTTTTTTCACATATTTACAACTAGGAGGCCCACCTTTGCATAAAACGTCTGTTCTTCTGCTTTAAAATGTTTTCAGTTCCTTGTTTTCTAGTGGGTCCCCGCATCGCTCTGCCACCCGTCCCCTGCATGGGTGCCTCCATCAGCTAAGCGGCTGCTGTGGAGGCACCCATGCGTGCGCGTTCCTTGCCATGTCTGCTGTAGCTGTGTGCGTCCATCTATACACACACACATAGCCCTTCTCTCCGCCCAACAGTTTGATTGATGGCAAAAGGAGCCTATGGCGGGACCGGCAGCGCTGACAGCAGTGACACAGGTAAGTGTGGGAGGGAGGAGGGAGAGAAAAAAAGTTACTGGGCGGTTTTTACCCTAATGCAGAGAAGGCATTAAGGTAAATATAACTCCCAGACTTTAATACTACTTTAAATCTTAAAAATGCATTCAAGTAACCTATTTAAAAAAATTACACAATCTTATATCACTCAAAAAAAGCTGTAGATCCTCAAATAATCCCTAAATTGGTGCGGACACTGTCCTTCCTTCACCATTTTTTGGAGGAAAAGAAAAAAAATATTTCAATAGCAGTCTGCAGAGAGTATAAGATTTACGATACTCACATGGAAGCAGATGCGGGAAATCCCATAAGGGAAATCAGGCAAATGTGAACAGGCTTACGGGGAATACTTGTGTCCCCACGCAGGTGGTCGTTCTCGAATTAAGTCAGGACTATGGCTCAAACTATCCTGGAGCCTGATATTTTCTGGACAGTGAAGCAAAAAACCCAAAAAAGTGGATGTAGCAGAAGCACGCAGACGTGATAGATGAAAAAGAAATCTTTCGTTTATAGTCAACAATTTTTATTGTATAAAAGGTACACCAATAAAACACCTTCAACCCATCTTGTCAATCTAATGTAGCACTTCTCCAGGGTGTGAGAAGACACTAAGTGGCAGAGAGTTGGCTCCTCCCAACATATGTCAACCACGTCAGGAAATGTCACCTCGTCAGGAAATGCTACTTAAAATGCTACATCCGCTTTATTGGGGCTTTCCACTTCACTCTCCCTAATATACCATTTGTAATCGGTCAATAATCCTTCACATTATACAAATTTGTTATAAGCATGTAATAAACTTGCTGTATATCTGTTCAACAATCATTTCTAAGCAGTACCGTTTATCTAGATACAGTGCTATGTGTGGCTGCATACATTGTTTTAGGGTGAAGCAAATCTTCTAGGGATGTACCGATTACCGATATTTACCTTTCACTACTTGCCGATACCGAGTACCGATACCAATACTTCAGCTAGCCTGGAGCCGACTTCCAGGCCAATCAGCATCGAACCCGGCCGAACAACATGGAGCCGGCTTCCCAGCCAATCAGGAAGCGGGTCAGGAAGCCGACTCCATGTTCTTTCGAGGCACTGCTTGTCAGAGGAAATCTCCCTCTGACCGGAAGTTCCGGTATTGGGGGTAAGTATCAGAGCATTTGGGGCGAGTACGGGTACTCACCCAAATACTTGGTCAAACAAAACTGCACCTGCCCAGCATTCCAAATTCTTAAAGTCCACTATTTTAGTGGGCAGTGTAACAATCCACAGGGTTTCATCCTCTGGGAAGCAAATTAAGGTAGTTTGGTTGAGTAATTTACAAGTATAGCAGTCTGCATATGTTCAGGCTCTACAAAGCTGCGTTGATGATTGTACTGGGCAGCTACAGTTTGGTGAAATTCTCTAAAAGTGTCCTCAGTGAATGAAAAATACATTTTGAATAGCTAGGGTCACTGTCAAAGAGATAACTGGCCTCTTTGCTATTCATCTACTTTTAGGAAGCTATATACCATACCTGGAGCACAGTCACTCTATGTTGTTGGAACAATACATGAACCAGCTTTCTGGGCATCATTTTAAGATGTTCTGGTACAATTAGTAGACAAGCTCCAGAGGACAAAGCAAGAAACATTTCAATAACAGATGGGTCAAAGGTCAGAGGTGAGGCAAGGAACACAAGGTCATTTGGCGACATACCGAAGATGGATCTAGAAAACAGAACCGTTATAACAAGAATAGTTAACATTGTGTACAATATTACTTTTTGGTACAGAAGATTTTTTTTAAAAACAAGATTGTTAAGAGTGGGACTTCAGGCAAGTATAAAACACCCTTTAGGTTAATGATTTAAATGTGAACACATGCAAAGTAAATCATATGGTAACAAAGTAAACAGTTTGCTTATACAATAATCATATTCATTTTTTTTAAATAGAACCATTTAGAACCTTTTTTTTGTAGTTTTATTTTAAGGTCATGTTGACGCAAAGCCTCTTTTATCGTCCTTCTTCCTGAAAATGGGAAAATGCTATGTTTTGTTGCACACAGCAGGGAGGTACATTCCCCACTGTGTACACTACGTTTCATAAGTTGGCTCCTTTTGGTGACCTCTGCTCCTACAGGCTGATTCTGCAGCTGTCCATCAAACAAAAAAGGCTGGGTGAGGGCACGGCCACTAATGTGACCACAAGAGATGCAGCAATGCCATGTGTTGGCATAATCTCAAAAGAAGAAGCCAGGATCTGCAAATTGACCATGCCAACACGGATCTGCTTCCCTGCTTGACGTGGTCTAGAGAAGGGGAACTGGAGAATCACCAGGGGTTTGGGGGAAAATTAAGAAGTTATAAATTACAGGTACTATTTACCTTCAAATCACAGATACATATAGGTAATAGCATTTTTAGGGAGATATACACGTTTATTAAAAAAACAAAAAAATGTTAATAAAAGATCTGACTGTGAAGAGAATAGTAAATACTTACCTTATTCTGCTACCCATGCCACCATACGCCGAACAAGAGCTTATCTTCTGAAGACTCTCCAGAAACTGAACCATCCGAGTGTCATTCTTGTCCCACATGGACAGGACACATCAGTGATGTAGTGGGGATGGGATGACTCGCTGCAAACAGCAGAGGGCCAGCAGATTGACACTCCCAGAAATATTGGTTTCCATAGGGTCTTTAGGCAGTGAGTTCTCTTCATTACAGAGGTGTTTGGCAGCTCGAAAAGGAGGATACCCAAGTATTTACTATCTTCTTTACAGGAAGAACTTTTATTCATGATTTCATTTTATTGTCGCTTTAAATCTAGTTTTAAAGCATATGCACACCTAATAACTAAAACCCAACTTAAGTTTTAACATGGTAATGTAATTTCAAAAGTCAATCTAAATATTTTTTAAGCGACACTAAACTCAGGAGTTACATTTTAAAAATGCCTGCTTTTGCATCACTCGGCTGTAGATCCTCAAATCATCTCTGAATTAGTGCTGACACTGTCCTTCCTTCTGGAGGGTGGCGACTTTTGTTCCCCATGGTCCGTGTGTGTACTGTAAAGTAGGCACCACTCCAAGCTCGCTCCTGTGATGGACTACAATCTCATGTTTACTTTACTAATTTGTAGTGGGATTGTAGTCCATCACAGGAGTGAGCTTGGAGCGGTGACTGCTTTACAGCATACACAGAGACCATGGGGAACAAAAGTAGCCACCCTCCAGAAGGAAGGACAGTGTCAGCACCAATTCAGAGATGATTTGAGGATCTACAACTGAGTGATACACAAATAAGATACATTTTTGGAACTTGAATACATATTGAGAGCCGGTGCACACCTATGCACCCCACCGCGTGGCAATCGTGCACAAGTACCTTTTTTCTGCAATACATGACGTGCGGCTGTTTTTCCGCCCGTGTGTTCAGCAGCACGGGCGGAATTGCGGCGGAAAACCGTGCGATCCGCCCGCAGCGACTGGGTTGCCATTGGAAAATAAAGGTCACCCACAGCGCAATCGGTGCACACCTATACAACTCCTGACCGCATGGCAATCCGCACGGAATCGTGTACTATTGCCATGCGGTGATGTGTCGCATAGGTGTGCACTGGCCCTGAAGGTTTAACTCCTGAGTTTAGTGTCCCTTTACATCTGCAGCTTTCAATAAAAAATAATATCTAGGGGTTCCTGACATGTCTTGGTGTCACTGGTCTGGCTAAGACTTGACAGGAATGTGTAAATCACAAAACATGACAAATAGTTTGCAGTGATTATAATCTGCATATATGTATTTCATCTGTATATTTTTTTGCGCTTACCAGGAGCCCTGCTCTAGGTCTTTCAAACCTAAGAAAATAGGTTTGATAATAGAGGCACAGTATGAGGCATTGAACTGCTTCTGTATTGATAGCAACACAGATAATAAGGCAAGGAATTAAAAGTTTTCCTTCGGTTGCTATGAAGCCAGCCCACATACTAGGATTTCAAGTGTGCTAAATATTCACTCAGTAACATGGTCACGACTCTAAGGTTCGTGAACATCAAATAATGCACACAATACAATGAAAATGCTGCTTTGTGACATGCTGCCCGTGTGACAGACACAGATTAACCTTACATGCAATCATATTTTAAATGCTAAAAGTTGAAAAAGTATTTTAAAAACACAATTTAATTCAATATGAAAATATAAGCTCAAGCATTTTTACATACAACTAGTTTAACCCCTTCGTGACTGACGACGTACAGTGTACGTCGCCAGCATCGGGGCTGTTTAAACGAGTACATAAATCTGTCTTGCCATTAGCAAGCATGACCTCAACAATGTGCTAATGTTCCTTCTTTTCCCAATCATAGGCTGAGGAAGAAGAGGTTGAAAGGTGACTAAGGAAAGAAACTTTTTTCATGCAGTCACCATTAGATGAGCAAGTGCCATGTTGGGAGGGGAAGGGTGTTAAACTGTGTAAGCGGAGTCCACTACATTTGCAGCTATAAAGTGGGGCATAACATTGAAATCTTGAGATTACAAATTTTGCCTGGAGTTCCACTTCCAAGTTCCAAGAAAACTACAGGTAAAATGCCTTAAAAAATGTTACATGCAATCTAAAAGAAGAACAGTCCACATTAATAGTTGCTGATCACACAGATGTCTACATGATATAAAGTCTTACAAAGACAACAGATGTAAGTAACAGACTGAATAAAATATAGTTAATATCCTAAATATAACTTACCCAATATGGCGAATGTTTGGTACAATGCAGCAGTGAGGTACACTGACTATTTTGGGTTTGCCTGTGGTCCCTGATGTGTGCAAAATATATGCCAGGCAACATCTGTTTCTGTCCAAGTACTCATCACACAGTGGTCTCATAGTGGGGCCGGAAGTCTGATCATTTTTCATTTTTGCATCTTTATCGTTTACTTTCTCAGTTCGGAGAGCCTCGAAAACTGTGATGTCAAGATGCTGAACCCTGGAGGAGTCCCTTTCAATCCAGCTTGGGAAGAGTTGCCTGAAGAACTACAGTAACACATACCAAAACAAGGAAGAGCATCATACAGCAAGCAATATAAATGATTACAACTGAAATCTAGGTTATACACATTTTTTAAATACAAACACCATGTATATTCTAACTTAAATTATGGTCTCGTCTGTGTATTTAATGCAGAGCTATGTAGTAATCCAGCATAAAACAACTCCTGCACTTTGCCTCTGTGCAGAATTTTCCTATAATAAAGACCAGTTCCTGCTGCTCTCTCTCCTTATGCAGGATATTGGTGGGGGATTTTTTTAGTCCAATAGCACCAAGGATGGGGTATTATTCCTCCTCTCACAGAGAGCAAGAGCTAGGTCATTGTTTATTCCCACTGACACTGCGGCATGTTCTACTGTCAACAGTCTGCCCTCGACAAAGTCTGAAGGACAACGAATCAGCACTTTGTTTAAAAAGTTGAAAGAGCCCTGCCTAAATGGTCAATGCAAGAGCGTCACTGAGTTCTACAGGAGAAAAGCACATTGCAAATTAAATTGTTAAAGTAGATCTAAAGCCTAACAGGATGACATTTAATTTTCTGAAGCGCTGTACATCGAAAACAACTGCCATTTATTTTTCTTTAAGAAAATATCTATTTTCACACCTTCTTGCATATCAGATTGGCTGATCTGCCGCAGCCTCTTTGCAACCACTGCA